GAAATGAACAAGACTCTTGCTATGTTAAAACTACATTGATGAAGGCAGTTTTTTTAAAGTTTAAGTTTTAAAGTTTAAAGTTTTATTGGTCATTCATAATCACATTTTTACAAGCAATCATAGGAGTAATTACAGATTAAAAAAAGAAAGAAAAAAAACTGTTATAATTACTGCATTGATATTCACAAAAAGAAGTTTTCAGTTTACTTGATGTCTGTTTTCTTATCCAGATTTAAAAAAATGTTTTCTTCATAGATCTACACTCTACAGACGTCTAGACAAAATTGAAACAACCATTAATTGATATAAATAGATAGTCGAAACTCTTGCAACAATGATAACTATGCAGTTATTATCTGCACATTCGAGTACATGTACAATTAGATTTTCAGTTGATCATTGTTCCTATTTTACTATCGATCCGAGCCTCCCGGGTAATGATCAAATCATAATACATAAAGCAACTTTGAATGCCGTTTGTCCCAGGTAATCTACATGTACAATGCAAGTGGAATTCTCTGTCAAACTCAGCGTCAATTGAACTTCAGGAGAACTCAAGAATACTTTGATGGGATGCTTTCCAACAACAAAGACGCCAGTACTATTTGTTCCCATTCTCTGGCTGCCCTAGTCTGAATGTTGTATAAAGAAACGTTCAACAAAACATTGTTAAGTTTTGTGTTTTTAAATAAAAACTTGATAAAGAATCAGGGTTTCACTGTAGTCTGAACGTTGCACCATACAAACAAATTGTATAACTGGGCGGGGCTAATTGTGAGCACGCACTTATGATTGGCCAGTTGTCATGTCTACTGACTTTGTCAAAAATATTTTTTTATCTTCATGCTCCTTTTCGTTATACCTTAATTCTTTATAATGTTTCTTTATACGATTTTTATATCAAGGACGAAGTATTCACTGGAGGTATATATATATATATATATATACTACATCAGACTACATTTCCCTATATATATATATATATATATATAGGGAAATGTAGTCTGAACGTCATACCATACGAAAAATCATAAAACTGGGCGGGGCTTATGGTGAGCGTGTGCTAATGATTGGCCCGCTGTCATGTCAACTGACCTTGTCAAAAGTATTTTCTTTATACAAAGTTGTTTTTAGTCTGTACTCTCCTTCCGTCATGATAATTCTTCATATATGACGTTTCTTTATACAGTTTTTATATAAATTTCCTACATGTATATATAGTCTGAATAGGCTTCCAAGGACAAAGTATTCACTGGAGGTATATAAAGGGAAATCCCCGCTCTAGCCCATGCATTGGTCGCCTTTTTATACCTTGACTCCTGAAGGGGATTTCTTACAAACCCCAACCCCAGTGGGGGTAGGAAACCATTGAATTAAAGACAATCGTAAGAATGAGAATACACAGTGTTGTAGGGTATGTCGAACTTGATGGAAGAGTTGAAAGAGAGAGAAAGAGATCCAGGGAAGCGTAGCCCTACAAGAGATGTGTAAAAGGACAACTCTTCTTTTAAGGCCTCAACAAGCAAACCCATACCCTAAGAAAAGTATTTTCTTTTTTTTGTTTGTTAATCTTGTACAGTCCCTGGTTGTCATCTTTGCTTCTGATAAATAATATGTAGTGGCCAATATTCTATCAAAAATTTAGACTCAATACTTGGTTATAAAGTTGTTCATTGTTTTTATATGATCAAGGTCCCTATGGAAGAGTAAATACTGATACAGTGTGTATTGGGAAAAAAACAACATTTAGAAACCAAAGTTTTGCTATCTGTACTTTCTACATGCTACTTCTTTATCCATGGGCTTTGTCAAGACACCGCCAGTTTTGGGTCAATAATTGTTCATCATGTTGCCATCGTAGTTACTCATGTGGTTCACCCAAATCCTGGCCAAGGGATTCAGGCACGAACCTCAAGAAATCTTCCAACGGTGATTCACAAGACAAATGTACTTTTGTTATCGATCCTGATAGAGATTTCATTGCATTGCGTTGATACAGTGTACTGACAAAAAGTCCTACCCCTAAACAGCTGCGGATTTGCCCAAAGAAAGGTGGAGTCTAAAACTCTCAATTTTCAAGACAAATCTTGAGACCTGATGGTTTATAAGAAAGATGATTTCATTGAAATCGAGAAGTGAGAAGACTGAACTTCTTATAAAAGCGATTTGTAATCTAGTCAGGAAGATATATGTAGTAACTCTATCAGTGTAGAAAAAAAAGAAAAGGAAAAGAGGCAGAAAACAAAAATAATACACAGAAGCTCATTTGGGATCTACCATAGGAAGACTTAATTTTCTCATGACAATATAAATTATTACATTTCCTTTTTACCAGATCTGTGTTAGAGCTTACCACAGCTAAATCTTAAGCTACTACCATGTATCTATTTATTATTTTTTAATTTTTTATTTACTTATTTATCTATTTTTTTGTAAAGGTCCATTTTGAGATTTAGCTTTATTATTTTATTGTGCTGTGTAATGATGACTGGCATATCGCTCTCTGGCTCCACAAGCCACATTGCTCGTGTATTTCTCATTTCTTTTCTGACTGCCATCGGAGCAATTTGAGTGCAATGTGTGAATTTGTCTTTGATCTTAGGCCGGAGAAGACTCTTTCTGAAATTCAAATTTTGCTACTTTTGAATTTGAGTGGCAGACTTTCACTTTGAGAGCAAATGAATATGGTAGTGGGACGTTTATCAACTTGATATTACAACAATGACCGACATATTTCATGTGTACACTGTAAGTGTTAATCAATCGTTATATAATGGCTATTACATAGTTCGTGAATGAACCTGGGCAATGAAAAGTAAGTTTGCGTTTACGGTACAGGAATTTCATTTAAACGTACAGTAGATATGCTATCAAAATAATCAGATTTTTCTTTGCGTAGTGATAGTACATGTAATGTACTACTTGTATGATACATTACAATGAAATTATGTTGTTACAAGCTTTTTTTATTTTTATCATTTTTTCTTTCTTCCAAATTTCGTGCTATCAAGAATTACCATAGAATCATACACTTTTGTGACTTTTATCTTGCAACAAGTTTTACTGTAGGAAACTTCCATGAATTACATTAAAAATGATTTATTTGTTAAAATGCACAAAACTTTGATAAATCTGAACCATTTGCAAGATTTTGCAAACATTTCATGCACCTGAAAGTTGCTGGTATACAAACAGTTATTTGATCTGTTCTTCTGTGATTTAAAAAATATATACTATTACTGGGTCTGTGGTTCATTTGAGGTTGGCATTAGCCGTTTGTTTATTTTTATAATATTCCATTCAGAAATGCATGAACGTGTGTATTGATGTTTCTTAATTCAGGTGTTAAACTTGAAACAGAAATAGGTTGATGCTATAGCACCTATTGCATGAGTTTCATTGATAATTTGTGAAAGAGGGGGGGGGGGGGGGGGGGGACTGAGTGAAAAAGTGGGGAAGATTTGTTGTTATTTTTTTGAGGGGGAGGTAGAGAGGAAAAGCAGATGTTTCCCCTTTTGTGTTAAAGGATAGTAAACTTCACTGGTATCATCTGTTAAAATCCATATTTTGGTCAACCCCAAAAGTGCATTTAGTTTGTTATCCTACTGATTTTACACAGATTGGTGCCGAATTGACACCTTTGTAATCGAGTGAACCCCCTCGTGTACTTTCTTATTGTGGAGTGTGGCGTGAAAAATAGCAAGCACAAATTGTTGAAATCACTCTTGGTGCCCTCTCCCCCTACTTTTCTCTGCGTTTGACCATGAAACCAAACGCAAGGAAACAACTGTTGCAAGAACCATGCCATGCATTGGACTGATAAACATAAAATGCTCCAGTTTTGTTTTGTTTTCTTCAGATGGAGCAGCTATTGTTTCAAAGCCAGCAGGGGGTCTTTTTATTTTGAAATCAATCTGTTTTGAAAGATTCATTTTGTGATGAATTATAGTGATGGAAATTGTTTATATTACAATGTACATTATTATCAGAAGAGCACCAATTTGTTCAAGTGATGAAATAGAGAACAAAATTCTCTTCATAAAGTGAAGTTATAAATCAATCTGTTTTAAAGTCCTGATTATGAGAAAAATTCTAATGATGGAAATCATATTAAATTTATTGCGGAAGAGTACGTAAAAGATTCAGTTCAGTCAAAATGACCCTTAAAAGAAGTGATGTTACAGAATACAGATCAATCCATTTTTAACTCCTTGAAATTCTATGAAAATATTTCAGTAATTGAAATCATTTTTTAGCAGAAGAGGATGAATAACACTCGGGTCAATTGACCATGAGACAAATGGAAATTTGTTTTCACTTCTTAAAGTGAAGTGTGAGATAATAGAAACTGAAAAAGCTGAGTACTTATATATGATGGCAAACACTTGAACTGCATGTTTTGCAAATCCGTAATTCTTCAGTCTAAGGCGTATAACGAAAAAATGTCAACTTTATAGACCTCCACGTTTATAAATTCTGTCGTTTGTCGCCACCCTTTTCATTCAATTATAGACCGCGTTGCAGATACATGTACATTTGTAAGTAGCAGCTGATTGGGAAATCATTTACTGTTTCTGAGCTAAATATTTTTCTTTTATCGGACATCAAGCTGGAATCCTGAATTATTTAAAGAAAATAATATGGTCTCATGGTCTCAGATGTTCTTCTCAATTTTTGAAGTACTGAACATGGTTCAGACAACTTTATTTGTGAAGAAAATTTCATGATGAGAATCGTTAAAAAGTCAAAGCTGTCTACAGCGACCGCCCAAGGGGAACACAAAAAGTGGTCTTTGTAGACAGGTTCCTTTAGTACATGTTTCAATGAGAAACCATTTTCAAAGGAAACAAAAAAATTGCTTGTTGTAGATACATTTGTAGGTGGTCTTTGTAGACAGGTGGTCACCAAAGCAGGTTAGACTGTACTTATTTAGTGACGGAATAGATTTGATGAAACCCACCTTTTCAAATATTTAATTTCTTCTCATTTTTTCTTTGCAGGTCTCGTCGTCGCCCCTCCAATTTGACTTTCACCCCCGACAGTGACGGTCTATCCTGCCACCATACCTGCCTCAATAGAGATGTCCGACAGTTGGCCCCCTTCTCAGGTGCCCCCTGCCCCCCAGACCCCCACCGGGGGGACGCAGCCAGGGGGGCAGACCACGCCCGGCTCGCCCACCGACGATGAATTGGGCAACGATGCAGAGGGCGTGTGGAGCCCCGACATCGAGCAAAGCTTCCAGGAGGCCCTGGCTATATATCCACCGTGTGGACGCAGGAAAATTATTCTATCAGATGAAGGCAAAATGTATGGTGAGTACTAAGATTCCCCTCATTCAGTAAAGGCATTTATACTTATAGAAAGGGACACTTCAGGCTCGTTTACATATAACGTTGAAAACTGTGACATGTGCTCAAGCGACTATTGCTCCGAGCTATATTTCGGTCGCAAGCTACAGGGTTAGATTTAGGGATGCGATGGAAAATTGATTTCAATTTATGCAGAATTATCCAGAAACTGTAGACAAGTCATAATGATTATCCTACCTAGCAACAACTAATGTATGCAATTTGAATTTGAATTTTGAATTTGAATTTGTAACAGATGAAAGAAAGAATTTGTATCAAGGCGCTTCACCAAAATATGGTTACATTACGAAAATTGGTCTATTACCACTTAGCATGAGTGCCATAGAACCTCAGATCTCTGTAACGTACAAGTAGACGTCCGAATCAAGACATCTATCTCCGGACCCTAATCCTGTCAATCAAGCCTTGCAAGAAAGATGTCCATTTACAGGGGGATCATGATAATGGTACAAGGTGTCGGGGTAAAGTGGTCTTATTGAGTTCGGTCAGACACTTCATTTGTCTTCGCTGACATGTAGTATTTGCCTTGGGTAGATCTTGTGCATTCATACCCGAATAGCTTTCATACCTACCCCAAACCACGTTTGCACAGAAGACTGTTTGCAGACCTGCACCTAGCCTGGCTTCTAGGCAAACAGAGTTCATTTTGAATGGTCTCATTTGCTACATAACCTGCAGAGACATGTAATTTGTAGCATCGCAAAAGCTACTCAATGACCCAAGAGATAATGTTTGTCTTTGAGCTAGGCTAATACGGCCCTATTTTGTGATGATTTTTTTATTTCATAGAAAGTACTAATAGGAGGCTAGTTTGCACAGTACTTACAGTATGTACATGTAGGGCAGGGTCACACTTAAAAAATCATTTATAATGTACAACCTGTACATGTACTGTACATTTGTAGGCTAACATGCAGCAGCAGCAACACTTTGTATTTCCTACTCCAAATAATGCTTGTTGAATAAAATTTACGTTTTATTATCATACAATTATAATTTAGAATTGTAATATCATTTACGATTCATTAACATACAGTACGATACTATTTTGATTTGAAAATATACTAATTTTTTATTAACTAATACCCTGAAATATATTAGCAATATCTTGTCCACATACTTTAACGTATTATGAAATACCATTACAGTTTGTACAGTAGGCCTGCAAGTATACATTGTATCTGTGTGTGTACATTTACAGCTGTACAACAAAAACATGTACTTGTATGTCACCTACAAATGTTGATTTGTTAAACACGTACTACAGGTAGTCTTTATAGTTTACAATGTAGAGAAATACATTTGTGTTTTGTTTATTTACACTGCGTTAAATACTATGATTACGAAAATCTACTGACAGCTATGTGCCGAAAAATGGTAAAAATGAAAATGAAAATGAAAAGCAGTTTCAAATAATTCATTGGTATATTTATGTCAGTCAACTATGGAGACGTGCATTTATGAATGCACGGAGCAGATTGATTTCCAGGGGTCGCATTGCTTTCCAGGTATTCTAGCTCAAACCAACTTCCAAGAAGTACTACATGTGTATAAAAAAAAACGTGTACAGTGTACACCTGTAGGCTTCTCAGGTGTGTAGAGTGTTATCGTGTGACCCAACATGGAAATGTAATGTAGCTTGTAGGCTACACTGCACCCATGAGTATGTGCAGTACATGTATGTCCTTTCGTTTACTTGTGCCCAATAATTGAGAACATTGATCAGATTTAGAATTACTGTAACACTCAAATTGTGCACTTGTAGCCTTTTAGGGTCAAGTGGCAACATCAGTCCATTACCTTTGATAATTTTGCTATTAAAATTATCATCAATATTCTGTTCCTTTCTGTGAATTCAAATTTCCCACAAAATGTAATCCTCATTATGAGAAACAAATGGAGATGTGTAAGGAGACAAAACGAAGTGGTAGATGAGTACCGGTAGTCAATTTTTATTTGATGTATACACTATATACTGTATAATAAATTTAAACACACAAGATTGTTTTCTCAGCATTTCTGTCAGTCTACAAAAAGTGAAAATGGAAAGAAAATTAGAGATGTGTTTGTCCTCTCTTTGAATTTTGATATTGTCTGGAGAGCCTATCGCTCATAAATCTATGCAGGACTACCTTTCAGCGATAAATCTACAGGCTTGTTTTCTTATCTGCTTGGGTCCGTGACTAGGGGTCGCGACCTCGGGGAGAGCCCAACCATCGCTGGGGTCAAAGGGTCAAGATCAAGTCTATTGCTGGGTCCCTTCTCAGTGGGGTTTCTCTTTCGATTATGGCTGGCACCGTACCTGCCGCTGTCATGTTATAGGCTATATGGATAAGATGTGTAGCACTGTAGGATTACCATGTTTATGTACACTGTACATTGTCAAACGTTTCCATGTACGTTTCGATGTACACTTTGATGTACATTTTGATGTACGTTTCGATGTACAATGTACATGTACATGTATGTTTGTTTTTGTGGACATACAAGCAGGACTACACACAAATTCTCTTTCGATTATGGCTGGCAGAGTACCTGGCGCTGTCATGTTATAGGCTATAGATAAAATGTGTTGTAAATTTGAATCTTTGACATATTGGTTTACACGCACATGTATGTACATGTTTATGTACATGAAGGCCTACGTACATTGTATGGCCATGCACACTACATACAAACAAATGTACATTTATTTTAGGCTCTGGACAGCGTTTTGTTTTTTATCAACGGTTGTAGCAGGTCCGTTACACGTACATGTAGAGTCCTTTTGAAAATCTGAAAAATAAATCTGAAATCCAGACTAAAAGTATCTATTTCATTTCATTTGTTTTTAATCCACATTCCAGTTTAAAACAAAACATGCTTGAAAACTAAAGGCCTAGTCTCTGTTTAATTATCCCCTCGCCGACGAAGTCAGAGGGGATATAGTTTTGTTTTAATTTGTGTCAATGATAAATGGGATAAGGCTTAAATTTGTAGATCTCTTGGTGATTATTTTTCTTGAGATTGTCTTGAGATTGTAGTTCTCATTGTGAATACATATTGTTCTTAAAGGTAAAGACCAGTTATGGTCGTGCGATTGCATTGTGAAAGAAACGTTGTGGAATCGATCAGAAAAGGTTGATCATCTAGCATCTAGCATCTGCAAGGTTCTGGAATCATCAAAATGATAAGAAATTTGGCCCATTCTTCGTAAAGTTACAAGCACTATACACAGAAAGATGTATATGGGACTACCCTATATCTCTCACAGACCATGAGAGAAACAAATTTACCAAATATATGAATTAGTAGGCGGTTTCCCGGCAAATTTTTTATCATCATGTATTAGTCAAAACATATTCTTTCACATGATAGGTAATGAGAGCTTCCATTTCATTTTTTGAAATTGGGGCGTTTCCAATACTGGTCTTTACCTTTAAGAATATTATTTTTGTGAAGATTACCTACACTGTAGCAATAATATGCAAAGAAGGCTGATGAGGCTGTCATCAGGGTGTAGCCTTGATAAGATGGGGACAGTTGGTTATGAATGAAATACTGACCAGTATATTAGTTTATTGTTGCCTAAATCTATGATTCTGGTACGTCAGGTGCGATAGCCCAGTTGGTAGAGCAGTGGTCTCGTAATCCGGTAACCCGGGTTCGAAACCAAGGCGATTCGCTTGTGCCCTTTGGTAAGGCATTAATCCTCATTACCAAGTCTCTCTTAGAGGACCTAAAGCCGTCGGTCCTCTGGTGGCTAATACTAACAAGCATTTATGCTTTCTGAGCAGTCGGGTAAAATAACCACCACTACAGTGAAATATGCTTAGTTATCTTCACGAGCATTATTTTCCTAAAGATAACCCAGCAATAATAATATGGAAAGGAGATTTGTAAGGTGTCATGTGCATGACCTTGATCAGATGAAGATAGGAGTTGGTGATCGAGGTGGTGATTGAGGGCAGGGTTGGGACAGGCATCTGTCCACCTCAAGCTGAGAAAATAAACCTTGTTCTGATTACTCATCTCGTTGCATGCAGAACTGTTCACACCTGCAGATGAACTATGTTTCTAAACGCAGTTGAGACAGAGCGTGAACAGACTTCATCCACTTCATCCAAATCTAAGAAAATAAACCTTGTCTACACAGTACACTGATACAATGCTGATTACTCATCTCATTGCATGCAGAACTGTTCACACCTGCAAATGCCAATTACATGCATGTAGTACATGCACGTTTCTATACGCAGTTGAGATATTGTTCATAAGTGCAAAAGTTTACAAATACCTCAGTAATCCATGAATTTGTAGGAGATGGCCACTTGCTGTATAAGATGTACTTGTCTTAAAAGATAAACTATTAAAAAAACGTGCTCTTTTTACACGTGTTTCTAAACGCAGTTGAGATATTGTTCACGAGTGCAAAAGTTTACAAATACCTCAGTAATCCATGAATTTGTAGGAGATTGCCACTTGCCGTGTAAGATGTACTTGTCTTAAAAGATAAACTATTAAAAAAACGTGCTCTTTTTACACGTGTTTCTAAACGCAGTTAAGATATTGTTCATGAGTGCAAAAGTTTACAAATACCTAAGTAATCCATGAATTTGTAGGAGATTGCCACTTGCCGTGTAGGATGTACTTGTCTTTATAAAAGATAAACTATTTAATAAAAAACGTGCTCATTTTACACGTGTTATTCAAAGTACATACTTTAAATTCAACGAGCATCAACGTTGCTGATCTGCTCTCATGTGCATCTAGAACACATTGCATTACTTCTCGGCACGTTTACACGTAAAGTGTTTTTAATTATATAAACGATGAGATTTTATTGCACTCTGAGGGGAAATGATTCTCCTTTGTACTAGCTTGTTGTTGCCTTGGTGAAATGTACTTTACCCTGAATTCCCTACATGCTGTGCTTTCAATTCCTACTTCAAGGGTCACACACA